TGTCTTTGGTTTTCATGAAGTAAGATGAGACAGTTTGCTCCTGTAAAGATTTATAGCCTTGGAAATCCAATGGCTTACTATGAGTCAGAACTGACTCGGATAGTGAGTTGGCTTTTGGTTGTTTTTCATAACTTGTTAAACCTGTGTAGTTTTCTTTGTATTTATTCTACCAGAAGTTTGTTAAGCTTTTGAAATCTTTGATCATTTTTCAATTTTTGTCATTTATCTCTTCAAATGTTGCTTGTAATCTATTATCTCCCTTTTCTTCCTCTGAAACTTCAATTATATGTATATTAGAACTTATAAGTTTAACTCATGTATTTCTCCTTCTCTGTTCTTTGTTTTGCATTCTTTTTTTTCCATCTGTGCTTCAGTTTGGATGTATTCTATTAACTGTCTTCTGATAGTTTCCACTTTGGTCTTAGAGCCATTTGATTATTTCTTATTTTCATATATTGTATTTTTTTGACTCTTGAAGCTCTTTTCTTTCTTTTCTTTTTTTTTTTTAAGATTCCCATTCCCTGGTGAAAATCTTTATCCATTTTGCTCTTTTTCTGTTTTATTTAAAGTTAATATTTCATGTTAAATAAAACCTTGCCTGATATCTCCAGTTTCAGGACTATTATGAGTCTTTATTTTGATTTTCCTTATGTTACATTTTTCTGCTTCCTTTTATGTCTAGTAATATTTTATTGTTTGATGGACATTGTGTTTTAAGTGTGGAGGTTATTATGCAGTATTTTTCACCAGTGATGGGTTTTTCTTTCGTCAGATACGGTGAAAGGCTAGCCAATCCAGTCAAGCCTTGAGCTGAGTTAGGGCATGGTTGAAGATTTAGTAAGGCTTAGGCCACTTCTAGTTCATCCTCTTTCCTCAGGATTTATCCTCTTGGGCTTTTGATTGATTTTCTGGCTTTCTTCTTTTTACTGGGCTTTGAAAGTTCTACATTTTGCAGGCTTTTAACTTAATTCTTTAGTCATTTATCCTCTCCATGTTCTAAAATTGGCAAATGTCTTGAAAAGGAAAGTAGTTGTTTGTTGCATGTCTCCTCACTCAAGAAGGACTTTGCCTCTGAAGCTCTGCAAGAAATCTAGAGGTTTTATTTTACCTCTCCTCCCTAGATATTTCCAGTCTCCATAATTCCAGCATAATTCATCATGTCCCAAGAGAAAATTGTATTTTCCCATCTTTTTTTTTTCTGGCCAGTCCTACATTATGTAACGGTAAAAAGCCTTACTGATTTATTTTGCCTAGTAGTCCTTGTTTGAGTTAGGATCTTTCCCTATTGATCTATTTAGATATAGTTGTATATATTTATAACATTTATAATGGCTTTAATCCTTTTCTTACTTAACTTTTCTACCTCGTCTGGCAGTTCTAAATGGTATCCTTTGATTCCCACATAATACCTGTTCTCAATCAATGACCTTATTTTACTTTCCCCTTTTTTTTTCTTTCATTCTTTCTACTTCGAAGAATATATGATGTTTAGATTCTGTTCTTTGACCTATGTCCTCACTCTTGTTTAGTGTTAGTTTTAGTTTTTCCATTAAATATATTAAATACTCACCATCAGTTCTTTTGCTAAAATTTTCCAGACATCCTTCAGTTGATGAAACTCATTTTGTTGATTTTTACAGAAAGGGCACGTGAGTGCAGTATTTCCTGAGTTCTAGAAAGTTCAAAACTATGATTCTACAGCCCAGATACTTGAAGCACAGTTTGTCTGCATGAAGATTAACTAAGAATTTCCTTGAGGGTTTTTTTTTCTTTTTTTTTAATGCTGCCTCATTGTTGCCTTACTTTTTATGCTGCTTTAAAAAAGTCTGAGGCTATCTATAATGGTTTACATATATGTCAACTTGGCTAGACCGTTTTTTCAGTTGTTTGGTAGGCATTATATAATCCTCCTCCAATCTGCAATTGGATGTGAGCAGCCAATCAGTTAGAAGTGAAGTTCCCTTAAGTGTGTGGCCTGCATCCAATATACATTAACGATCTGACAAAGCTTGATTGCTCTTTCTCGATTTTGCATTTGTTTCCACCATCCTCTGACCTCCAGTTCTTGGGATATGAGAAGAGTTCTGCCTACTGCCTAACATGCAGACTTTGTGTGTGCCAGCTCCCTCAACCTAATGAGCTCGCAGCCTGCCATCTCATCTGTAGATTTTGAGTTTTTCAGCCCCTGCAAATATGGAGGAGAATCTTTCTGCTTGCTGCCTGACCTACAGATTTGGCACTTGCCAGCCCCTACAGTTGTGTGAGCCAATTGTCTTGATGTATTTCCAAAGGAGCTCTGGTGGTATAGTGCTTGAGCATTTGGCTGCTAACCAAAAGGTTGGTAGTTCAAGCCCACCAACCACTTTGTGGGAGAAAGACAAGGCAGTCTGCTTCCATTGAGAGTTACAGCTGTGGAAACTTGATGGGGCAGTTCTACTCTGTCATACAGGGTTGCTATGAGTCAGAACTGACTCAATGACAATGGATTCTTGGGTATATATATTCCATATATGTTTACTTGGGTTTTGTTTTTTTTTTTTTTTTTCTCTAGAGAAGCCAGCCTAAGATACTACCTGAATATTTTTACCTTTATAAATAAATTCGTGATTTTATCTGGTGGACCTGATGATTTATTATTTTCCATAAAGTTTAATGATTTTACTAGGATAAATCTTTATTAGTTGACCTAGTTTTACCAATTTTTTCTTATTTATAGAAATTTTTCTTGGACTATAATTACAAATATTTGTTCTGCTCCATTGTTTTTTCTTTTTTTCCCAGGGCTCCAATAAAACAAATGTTAACCCTTCTTTGTCTTTCTTCCACATCAGGCACTGGCTCTCTGGCCCGTATTTTATTTTCTTGCTGTCATTTTTATTACCTTGGTTGTTACCTTACCTTTTTAAAATATCCTTTATTAAATTTCCATTTGAATCTTTTCTGCCTTGGACAGACAGTGGTAATTTATTTTTCATTTTTGAGATATTTTTTTCAATTTTGAGCTGTCTTTCCCTGTAAGCTTTTTTCCTTAATCATGTTTTGTGTCATTTCTTCATAATTTTTTCCATTTTTAGTTTTTTTTTTTAAATTTCTGGCCCTAGATTTTACAAACACATCTAATCCTTGTTTGAGGATATTTAGTTTTAATTTGGAGTTTGATGTGTTTTCTTGAGGCATAGCTGAATTTTGAGGGAAAATTTTTCATTAGCTTAAAAATTTTCTATTTACATTTCTTGCTTTCATCTTAGTTTTTATTGTATCGGTTTGAATATATATATATACTATCTTTATTTTTAAATAGGCCTTTTGTGAACAGGGTGACTAATTGGAAATTGTTTTTTTCTTTTTTCCTTTCAGTATGTTGTTGTTGTTGTTGTTATGTGCCCTCGAGTCGGCCCGACTCATAGCGACCCCTCCTTGGGTTTCCGAGGCAGTATCACTACGGAAGTAGGAATGCCCAACCTTCCTTCCGAGGAGTGGCTGGTGGGTTTGAACCACCAGCCGTCTGGTTAGCAGGCAAGTGTCTTAGCCACTATGCTACCAGAGCCCCCCTTTTCAGTATGTTGTTGTTGTTGTTATGTGCCGTCGAGTGGGCCCCGACTCATAGCGACCCCTCCTTGGGTTTCCGAGGCAGTATCACTACGGAAGTAGGATTGCCCAACCTTCCTTCCGAGGAGTGGCTGGTGGGTTTGAACCGCCAGCCGTCTGGTTAGCAGGCAAGTGTCTTAGCCACTATGCTACCAGAGCTCCCCCTTTTCAGTATAGTGAACTGCAATTTCTTCAGCAGATAGTATTTTCAGTGGTGGTAGCAGTGTTGTGTATGTGGAAATGAGGTGGGCTGGGTGGTTTGACTTGTATCCCTTTTGTTTCCATGTTGTTGTTATGTGCCCTCGAGTCGGACTCGACTCATAGCGACCCCTCCTTGGGTTTCCGAGGCAGTATCACTATGGAAGTAGATTGCCCATCTTCCTTCGGAGGAGTGGCTGGTGGGTGTATATATTGTAAATTGTAAACTTCCAGTGAAAAAGACATTGCCTAATTCATCTCTGTATCCTTAATATGCAGCATCCACAGAACAAGTTTTCACATAGTCTTCAGATGATTTTTCTTCTGAATTAACTTGGGCCTTATAGAGGGCAATTTCCAAACTATACATACATATACTTACTTTTTCTCATGCAGAAAAAGATGTCTCTTTCAAGGAAAATATCTAGTGATTGGAAAACTCTAATTTTAAAGTTTTAAACTTCAAAATACTTATGAGTAGGAACAAAACTCATTTCTGCTCCTGTTGGCAGAAAAGCCGTCTGTGCTTGGGCGTTTACAGTGAAGTTTATCAGGGGTAGACATCATCTGCGGGCTTGGCCTGGCCTTGTCCCTTTGTAGCGGATGCCCCCTCCTTAAACCAGTTCTGAGATGGGGCTATGGTCGCCCTCCTCTTCTCTCACTCTGAGATAGGCTTCCTCAGATCCTTTACCTGGAAAAAATAAAAGCCAGGATGCGGAAATTACCACTGCGTCTACAGCCTGTTCTTATTTGGAACGCTGGAGTGTCAAACTGGGCTGTCACCATTCCTAAAGAGAAGGTCCTCGGCTTTTCAGCAGGAGCAACAGTTGTCACAAAGTTCTCTGGGGACTTCTAGAATCGCTCGCAGCCTCCATTGCTGCCTGGTTGAACCAAGGGCCTTCTTTGGACAACCCCAGGCATTTCCCGAGTCTCCGCAGCCATTTCAGTCGCGTGCGGTCTCGCGGGATCAAGGGTCCCCAGACGCGGGAAGAGCCGAGTGGTGTGCCGCCACAACGCCTCAGCGCCCCCCTGACCCTGTCCCAAAGCCGCCACGCAAGCGCACTGGGGCTGGATTTTCTATAGGACAGCACAGCAGAGCCCGCCCACGCCTGACGCTCCGGCCCCCGCCCCGCCCCCACCCCGTCTTGCATCTCAGACCCTTGAAGAGTGGCTTTGAAAGGAGGCGAGAGGAGGCAAGTGAGGCGGCGAGCGCGATGGCGAATGCAGGTCGGCAGCTGTGCGTGCTAGGCTTGCTCCTCTGCGGAGTGGCGAGTTTTAAGCTGTCTGCACCCTCCAGCGGCACCACAGAGAAACCCATTATTGGTAAGAAGGATATACGGGGTGTCGGGAGACGTGTGCTGTCTGTTGGCTCTCCACTGCTTGGCTGGAACTCGTACCCACCTTTTGACAATACCCCCAAGTACTATATAGGGTTTTGATTGTGTCTTCATTTATCGTACTAGTAGAAATCAGATGCCTTTTAGATCATACTGAAATGTAGCAAATGCCTCGTCGATTTCGCTTAGATTAGTATGTCTCTTCAAGTTGAAAGGGAGGAAGGCATACTGTGGAGAATTCTGCGGAATTACATTTTTCTTTTTATACATCGCCAGGAGTTTCTATAGATTATACAGTTTCCGTACGTGAATTGTGTATATTTCAGTTTTTCTGGCTGAGGGCACATTTGAAGAAACGAGGCGTTATACATACAAAAATTGAAGCAACTAGATTAAGAAATTAGGGTATATCTTGGACGTTGTCATCGTTAACACTGGAGGGCAGCAGTGGCATGTGTGATCTTAATGTCCGTCCTATTTGATGTAAAGGAGCCCTGGTGGCGTTAGAGTGTTAGGCTGCTAATCGCCAAAGGTTCGCGATTGAACCCACCAGCTGCTCAAGGGGAGAACGATGGGGCAGTCTGTTTCCGTAAAAATTTACAGCCTTAGAAATCCTATGAGGGCAGTTCTACACTGTCCTATAGGATCACTATGAGTCGGAATCGTCTTGATAGTAGTGGGTGGGTAGGATTTGGTGTAAACGTGGAGCATGTGATTTTTCGTTCCCAGCAAATTTATGTTTAAAAAGAGAATAAAATCAATTTGCATTAGATTTACAGGACAGGGGAAAATTTCCCGGAAGAAATTACCTGGGGATTAAAATTTTCCAAAAGTAATTTATATGTGGGCAATTAAAATAGATTTTATTTTAGCTATAGGTTTATGTCATTTATAGTATTTGTTTTTTCTACTGCAAAATGTGTTCTGTAACCAAACAGAAAATAGATGAGTAAGTTTCATATGTATGAGTAATGCCTAACTATCAAATGGCTTGTGTATCAGTGGTTGCAGCTTGGAATGACTTATTTCATTGATATTTAAAATGATGGGATTCTCCAAGGAGCCCAAAGAGCTTTTTTTTTTTCTCTTAAAGAAAACAAAATAAACTTCAAAATATAATTATATGTAGTGTGTTGGGACTTGTGGGCACAGAGAGGACGAGAAAAGGAGAGAGGGGATTCTTTTCTCTTTCCTAGAATCAGAGGTAACCCTGGTTCAGATATGGAGAAAAGGAATATGCATTTTCGTCATCCTAGTCAATAAAGCAAAATAGTTAATTGAACACTTTTTTTTTTTTTTTTTTTAAATTGTCATTTGGGTGAAGATTCACAGAGCAAATTCACTTTCCATATAGCAGTTCACATATACTTTGTCTCATGTCATTGACCACAGTTTACCATAATGCAAACAGCTCCCCTCCCACTTCCTCCCCATAGTTACCTGTTCCCAGTGTCTGTCCCTCCATGGACTCCTGCCCCCTAAGCTGTCTCTTTGTGCATAGGCAGCCCTTCTTTCTCAATGATTGTTCTCTCCAAGGAGTGTATCTACCTCAGGTAAATGTTCAACTCATATGCCTGTCTTCTGTTTGGCTGGAAACCACAGATGTGGGTTCAATTCCAGACCTGAAGGGCAGATAGGGGCCATAGTCTCAGTGGTTCCACCAGGCTCTATCAGACCAGCAAACCTGGTGCCCCCTGCTTTTTTTTTTCTCCAAATGATTTTGAGTTTTATTCCACATTGTTCTCCCTCTCTATCAAGGATCTCCTGCATAGATCCCCTTCCAAGTGGATGAGAGTGGTAGCCGGGCACCATCTAGTTCTTCTGGTCTCATAGACATATAGGCTGCAGATCGGATGGTGTACCAGCCGCTAGGACTAATTGTTTCCATGAATTTTGGTTTTCTTCATTCTTCTTTGCTCTGGATGAGGAGAGACCCATCGTTGCATCTA